ACCACCGGTACTGCAATCCGATGGTGGGGGGCCCGCACAAGGAGACGATCGGACTGCTGGGACGGTGCCTGGTGATCGGGTTCGGCGGCGACCCGATGGTTGACCGGCAGCAGGAATTCGTCAAAATGTTGACCGCGGGTGGGGCCCAGGTGATGGCGTGGTTCGATGACATGGGATTCCACAACGTTGACCTCGTTGACGATCGCCGAGCGGCCGCGGTTTTGAGTCTAGTTAAGGAATTTATTATTTGATTTTTCTTTTTTCTTTTTAATTATCTTAATTATTTATTGGATTTTATTATTCGTAAATTTAATGGGAATTTTCAGATAATTAAAAAGAAGAAAGAAAATTAGGTCTTGCCGCTAAGTAGTAGTTGTTTGCAATTTTTTAGGCTAAATGTAACAAATTGTAACTAATTTGTAGGTTGTTGATCTTACAAAATTTTCAATTTTACTCAAAATTCTCAATTACATCCTAAAAAATTGGTTAAAAATGTCAATGCAAATTAAAAAAAAAAGAATAGCTTATTCCTCCATCTCTTATATGGATTTCATAATTATAGGAATTGGTTCTATAAATGAGACCGAGATTCAATGGAGCTATTTTACAAATAATCTCTCATTGATTTATTGATGTTGTGCTTTTTTCTTGGCGGGAACAAGTTATGATAGAATACGTCTTGTTTATTTCGATGAAATGGACGGAGACTTTCAGTATCTTATTGATGGCTTCTCTTGCATTGTTGGGCATGAACGATTTTGTTGTAGAATTAATAGTCTTTTTTGGAATAATTACCATCCACTAATAACCGATGCTACATCCATTCAAGGTCATCAGGTATCGAATTTGGATTCTGAATCTTTGGGCATGGGCATTATAAAATTGGTTAACAAAAAGCTTATTCTCAACTTAGAATTTGTTTTGGTTGATAAAAGGTATTAATGAAGAAACCTGTAGAGGTGTTTTTATATGGTTGAAAATTGAAATATAAAAGACATGGAATCTTGGGGACATTTAATGAGCTGAAGATGGAACTAACTCAGGCTTTTAAATTATAACCATAAATAAAAGCTATTTATTGGCCTGCTTCACCGCAACCCTACCATCTACTTTTTGCTGCAATTACAAATCTACCCCTCTTTCTCTCTCTCAATTTTTGAGACGTAAATCTCCAACATAACTCAAATAAGACATATATCCCAATTAAAAGATTAAAAGTTCGAATCTCTAACATTTTAATGAGAGTTTTAAATAACGATCCTATAACATTGCTTGTCAAAAAGAAAAAAATGATATAAAAGTTTCGTGGTTGAACTTTTAAGTTTAAATTAAGAGGTCTATTAGACACAAATTTAAAAGTTTATAGACCTATAATGGACAAATTCATATACTTAAACTTTTTTTTTTTTAATAAATGGGAGTCGGAGCTTTGCTCTACTGTACCCAGAAGCACCCACACCCACCCTCGCCCCAAGGTTCGTTTTTTATGTTAAGTTTACCGAAAGATTCGAACCTGGGACCTCTAAGCCAATATAACCAAGAGATTCCAAAAGATATCTTAAAAGCTCATGTAAGCATAGTTAGTAAATGGGATTAAATACGAGTACAAATCAACTAATGTAACATTATAGAGTTTTGATCAGCTCCAAACCAATAGTGATTTTGATGACACATTTACTATAAGGTCATGGACTTATTAATATCCATCTCAAATAAATAACATCATCACTCTCGTACAGTTAAATGCATCTAATAAAAATTCTTCTCAAAGGTTCTCCCTTGATGTGGGGGCACCCCCACAATCCAGAGGGTACCCTACAGAACCCAGAAGCATATGATTCAATGGGTCAGAATTTTTACACATTTGGTAGACCCAATGGACCTTCCCCACCACTTTCACTTTCACTTTCTTGCTGAAAAGGCTGTACTGAAACTCATGCTAGTTTATAAGCACAGAGAGAAAAAGGGCAAAAAAATGTCAACTTTTAAAGTAAAGAATAGTCAGTGATGGCATGATTTGAGGGTGAGGACAGTGTGAAGAAGTTTGTAGGCTAAGGAAAAGCTTTCGCCTTTGTGCTTATATCATATTCTTCACTTTAACCCACTTGTGGTTGTGGGGAGCTTTTTGAAAAAATCATCGCCATCAACCATAATCATGGGAAAGGAGAAAAAGGGAATAACCAACGCCATTTGCTTTTGAAATTATTGAAGGAAACCGCTACAATATGCCCGATGTAGATTCGAAATGTAACAGTGTAGGCTACATTGTTACGGTCTCTTCTGATCATTTCAAGAGTTTATACTTTGAATCAAAAATGGTGAAAAAACATCTAGTTTTGACTCACCTTGTGGCCTTCCTCTGAGACTTGAAAAGGAAGTTTGACGGGGGCGATGGGGAAAACTCGAATGGAAGATGCGGTGGCTCGGCCTCGCCTGAAAAAACGGCCACAATCTCCTTCATTGTGGGGCGTTTGGATGGTGATCTCTGCAAACACAGCAATGCAATCGTGATACAAAGGAATGCCTGTTCCTTATCCAAGGAATGAATGGATGGATCAACAAGATCCAAGAGCTTCCCATTGCGGGCGAGTTGTCGAGCCCACGAGATCAAGTTCGCCCTCTCGAACTCCGACATTGGCGATGCCATTACCTGCAATGGTCGCCGCCCCGACACTAGAACTAATAATAGCACACCAAAGCTGTAGACATCACATTTCTCAGATATTTGCCCGCCTCCGCCGTACTCGGGGGCGATATAACAAACAGTTCCTCTCATACTAGGGGTGCTGCTGATGCCACCACTCTTGGGGATGTCACTGGTTACTCCATCTAGGCTGTTTCTTCTTCCATTTCTAAGATCACCACTCAATCCATCCAACCACCGATCAATACTTCCTCTACTGTTCTTATTGATGTTCTTCTTCTTCTTCTTCTTCTTCTTCTTCTTCCTCTCTATTACCGAATCTTCATCCCTCTGCCACCATAACTCTCTGCAACTACTGGAACTGAGCTCCTTCTTCTTCTTTGCAAGTTCCTCACAGAACTCCTCCTTCCACCACTCCGTTGGCTTCTTCCTGTTCTTCTCTTTCTTCCTCATTCTACCTTCATCTAGGGAGGCCCACCATTCCAATCTCCTCTTCTGCTTCTTCTGCTTCACGTTCCCACTTGAAGAAGCAATGCAGCTTTCAGATTCAACCCATTCGCTTTTGGGTCTCTCTTTTTTTATCTCATTTCCAATCCATTCCATCACATAATCCTTAACTCTCCCAGATTCAGAAACATCAATGGCGGATTCCTGTTTCCACCACCAATCCCTCCCGGACCCACCCTTCTTCCTCTCCTTCCCACTCTCAACACTAATCCTATCGAAATTCCCCTCCGACAAC